TAAGTATCCAAAAGTATTAAGAAAAAACAATAATAAAAAAAAAACAAAAATTTTTTTTTTTTAAATTATAAATTTTTTAAAAATCAAATACAAACATGATAACAATAACTTATTTTATGTAGAAAAGAAACTAAAAGGTGAATAAATAGAGTACAAAATGATAAAAATAATTAATAATAAACAAAATTGGACATGCAGTAGTATTATTATTTTTTTAATAAAATGGCAAATAAATAAGTCTAGAATAAAACTGACAAACAATCAATGAAACAAACAAGTAAATAAAAACCTGGACATGCAGTGGTATTTTATCTGGAGGGGAAAAAAGTCTAGAATAAATAGAATACAAAATGACAACTAAACACATAAAAAAATAAATGAATTGGACATGCAAAAAATGCAAGAAATAAACATTTTTAGAGACGAACAATCAGAGAGGGAATCATAATTTGATTTAGACGCCTCTGTGATGTAGATAAACCACTGTGATGATGATGATGATGATAATATATTTCATAAATGCATGTACAGATGATTGCATGATGATGATGATGATGATGATGATGAAGAGCAGTGTTATTGATTGATTAGATACTACGTCACATGTGTGCTGCTGTGATGTAAACGCACCTCGCAGGCCGGGGTTGTCATCTTTAGATCTGATGTTTCGTATTTTCACTCGTTTTCCGCTCAGTGTGGACAACACGAGCCTCTGTCTGAAGCAGCAGCAGCCCTCGAACTCCATGATGTGCGGAACACACGTGCTTCTACAGCCAAAAACAGGAGCCCGCGAGGGACAAACCAACTAACGCGAAGGCGGAAATATGACCTTACATCTGATGACCACTAGATGGCGACAAAGTCCAACTTTCTCAGCTTGGACACTTTAGAATGGAGACGATGAACTGTAGAAAAGGCATTTTAAATGATTTCAATCTATGCTTTTTTTTATCATGCAAAACATACTTTATAATCAAATGAAAATGTGAATGTACATTACAATTTTAAAAAGTTTAAATAGTACAAATTGGAAAGATATAAAAGATATAAAAACTATTAAATGTATTCAAATGCATGTTTGCAGTTTAATATTTAGTGATTAAATATCTGTGTCATGAATATTGATACTAGATTATTTATTTGTTTACTGGGATTTGATCGCATTTATTTGTGAACAGTGTTGGGGAGTAACTAGTTACATGTAGTGGAATTACGTAATCTAATTACAAACTAAATCTAACTGTAATCAGTTACAGTTACTGAGAAAAAATGTCATTAAATTACAGTTACTTAAGAAAATGTTAATGGTTATAAAAGGGGGTTACATTTGAGATTTGATTGATTTCTTTCCCAGATTGCATTGACTGCTCTCAGATATGAGACACCAATGTTTTAGGAGTTTAGGACACACGATAACTGTTTATTTCCAATTTGGGTTAATGCATATGCTTTATTTTTTAAGATTAACTGATTTTTCCAAGGCATTGTTAGATGCCGGTGTTTCCTGACATAACAAAGACTTGATAAAAAAAAAGTAAAAAAAGTAAATAGCTATTAATTATATAATTATAATATAAATAATATTCTTGTTATGATTCAAAATCTGTATTTAACCTCAGAACGATCTCAAACTAAAAAGAGGTGCTAAAGTCGGATTTTGTGGCGGCTGTGCTTTAAAATTAAATTATTATAAATGAATCTAATGTGAGGAAGGATTCTGAAAGTCTGACAGTAATCAGTGTTGAGTACTAGGCTACTGTAAGGTTAACCCTGCCTGCTTTAAATGTTTCAAAACGATTAACACTTAAAAACATTAGAAATTTAGTAATTTCTGAAGCTGGTTGCCTTAAACTTTTAAGTTTTCTCAACGTTTTATTTTATACAGTGCAGTTGGGAACATTCATGCATAATTTCAATACATAATCACATGAAACCAGATTTAAAAAATAAATTTTAGAAGAGAACGCAGCATCACGGTTGTCTGAACCAATGAGC